GACCCCCCCCCCCGGCACACCCAGGAAGGCTCTGACTCTGCGGCCCCTCTTCGGTGAAGGCTTATCCCCACTTGGCTCCCCTGGAGCTGAAGGCCACAGTCTGTCCCAGTGCCAGGTCTCACCCGAGGACCCTCCTCACACAGGTGTCTTTCCTGCAAGAATTTTTGCTCTGGGGGAGAAGGTCGTCTGTACAGTAAATTGGGGGTTTGGAGGGGACGGGCTGCGGGCGAGGCCATGGTTTAAGGTGCTGCCAGCACGACTCTGCCTTCCCCCATGGTCCCTGCCCGTTTTGGGCACGCCTGGGGTGCTGCCAGTGGTGGATGCTCTCCCCAAAGCTCCTGTCTGTGCCTGGAAAAGAAAAATCACCCCTTTCCGGAGTGATTTTGGCTGTGTTGAAAGACCCGGATTCAGTGGCTGCATCCGAGGCTGACCCTCAGCAGCAGCCGGGCACTTGGCTCCTGCTCTCGTTGCTGCCCCCCACCCCTAAGAGGGTGCCAGGCCAGGCTCCCTGAAACGCCTTCACTGGGAGGATTTGCTGCAGATGGGATTGCTGAAGGAAATCTTACAAAGAGGGATTTGCTTTCTGCCAGAAAGTCTTTCCCTGGGGGATGAACCCAGTGTTTTTGACTGAGACACCACCCACCCCGCTCCCAGCCTTTTAGTTTTTCAGCCAGAAACGAACAGAAAGGCAAAATTTTGCAGAGGGGAGAAGGTGTCGGTGTCGGTACTGCACCCACTGCCCACCCTCCCCGCCAGCAGCACTTCCCAGCCCCGCGGGAGCCCGGCCCCGTGCTGGCAGCACCTTCACGTGGGCTCGCAGAGGCGCAGCCCCGGTAGCCCGGGTCGCACCAGGAAGCGCCCGAGACGAATTGGCTTTGCAAAGTGAGGCTGTTTGAGCCGTTTCCAGTGGACACCAGAAGCACTACCAGCACGGCAACGTATAGCCCCCCCCTCCCCTTGGTACCACCCCCCTGACTAATCCCTGTGGTGCTATGAACCCAGCAGTACAGACGAGGCCTTGTCACTGGAAGACAAAGATCTGAGGGACCGGGAGAGGAGAATGGCCAATAACGCCAGGGAAAGGGTGCGTGTGCGGGACATTAACGAGGCCTTTAAAGAACTGGGACGCATGTGTCAGATGCACTTAAAAACGGACAAAGCACAGACCAAACTGATCATCCTACAGCAAGCGGTGCAGGTCATTCTGGGCCTGGAGCAGCAAGTACGAGGTATGGTACCAGCTGGCAGGTGCATTTCGGGGCCTTTCTCTCCCCCCACATCTCTGCGTGCGCGTGCATCTCTGTTGTGACTCCTGCTTTCGGGGCGAGGTGGGGTGTTTGCATCGTCTGCACCCTCACGCCAGGCTGAGCTTTCCAAAGCCCTGGCCCTGGGGTGGATTCGAGGCCGCTCTGTCCGTCTCTCTTTACGCTTAATGGGAATTTGGCACCTGGATCCCATTAAGCAGCTTTGGAAAACTCAGTCCTCAACTCCCGGAGCTGGCTGAGGCACTTGGGGTTTTCTGAAAGCGAGCACATGTTTAAATTGGCGTGGTGTTTCAGCCGGGCATGGGGTTTTGCTCTCGCAGGGGTCCCGCCAAGTTACTGCAGCCACTGCAAGGAGCAGCTTGTACTGTTGTTTCCTTGCATGGTCCCGTGTGTCTATCCTGGGACTCTGTCCCCGCTCTCTGTTTCGGATGCTGCCGCTGTGCACGGTGCTGTTGCCCAAACTGAGGTTGCTTCCCTCCCTCCCTTGCTGTTTTTGGCATAGAGCGCAATCTGAACCCTAAAGCAGCCTGCTTGAAGCGTCGGGAAGAGGAGAAAGTGTCCGGAGTAGTAGGAGATCCCCAGATGACACTTTCAGCTTCACATCCTGGTCTAGGAGATGGTCACAACCCTGTCGGACACATGTAAAGGTATCGTCCCCCTGCCCCGTGATCCCAGCACCCCGCTGCGGGTCCGACCCCTTGCCGACGCTCACTGCTCTGCTTTGGCTGCTCAGCCCCGCTCGTCCGGCGCCAGCCAACGTCCTTCGTAATTTACGCGAAGCGAATGACTTGCCCGTGCGTGTTGTTGGCTTGCCCGTGGGCACCCGGCGCCTCTGCCCACAGCAGGGGTGCAGCCCCGTAGCCGGGTCGGAGGGTTTTGGTGCTCTCACCAGCCTGAGCCAGCTCAGCTCTGCTCTGCTCTGCCCCTCCCAGCCCTGCCCCAGTTAGCTACTGGAAACCAGCAACTCCTTTGCCAGGTGGCTCTGGAGGAGGGAATGGGCAGATCCCAGAAGTTCCCAGGAAGACACAAAAGGTGAAATTTCCCCCAGCGAGACCGTGGCAGACGCAGACTCTGCTGGGCTGTCCCCGTTTTTAAGGGAACCCCGTGCTCGGCCAGGAGCGGCTGAGCCCATTTGGCCTGAGCGGGGCAGGGGTGTCGCTGGGGGACCGAGCAGACCCGGGAGTGGTGGCCCAGAGGCTCCCCCGGCATGGGGCTGCGGTCCCCCAACATCCCCCACTGGGCTGGTGGGCGCCTGGGGCTGCCCTGAGGGGGAAAAAAAAATAAAAATAAAAGGCAAAGCCAGTGTCTGGGCAGAATAGCGAGCTCATGCCTCCGCTCCACTGCAGAGATGAGGCTGTGGTAGGGGAACCTTGCGGCCCCCACCACGTGAGGAGCAGAGTTTTAATTCTCATTTGGGTTTCTCTCACTTCAGGCTTTTTTTTTTTTTTTTTTTTTTTTTTTTTATTTGTAGATCTTTTTGTTCCTCTGGATACAGAGATCTGTAGGAAGAAAACCCTCGGTGTGACCTGCAACCTTCTCGAACCATAAACTTTAGTACTGCTAATACTGACACACGTGGACGGATCCTGGCATGACGTAAGGGGTGGAGAAAACACTTTGTCAAAAGCAAAATGAAAACAAAAAATTGCCTTAAGTATAAAGTGCAGAACAGTCAATACATATCACTCAGTTAGGAGGGGGTGGCGTGTTCTCTTGGCTTGTTCACAAGCAGCCAGCAGCAAAATTGTGCCTAAGCTTGATATTTCTTTTTTAAAAAAAAAGAACATTAGTTATGAGATTTTTTATGTAGAACAAATAGCGATGCCTTTTGGTTTTTTTTAGCTTCTTTTGCATATGTTTTGTAAGCAACGAAAAGAATTTTTTTTTGTATAAAAAAAATGTCTTGTACCCCACGCTTTTCTGCTGCTGTTTCTATAGTTAACGTTGCATCTTTAGGATCAACCAGAATATTAAAATTGTATTAAGAGAGACTGGATATAAAGAGAGGAATTCTCAGATTCGGCTCTGAAAGCCACTAAAAGCGAATGTAGCCACAGCGAGGGGATGTTCTTCCTTGCCTGGCTTGTACCTTCCATTATAAAAAAACAAACAAACTCTTGTGCTGAATTCACCATCTCTTTGCTTTGGCCACTTCTGATTTGGGAAAAGGAAGTTAAACAGCAGAGCGAGTTGCAGCAGTGTCCCTCAGCCGTGCTCCCGCTGCTCCCGGGAGGTGTCCGAGGTCCATCAAGGGTCTCTGCAAGATTTGCTTTACTCCCGGAGAATCCCAGAGGCCGCGGTGCCCCACGGCTGGCCCGGAGCATCGTGATGGGGAGGATGAGCTGCCTTGGGGGGTGGAAGAGAACCGAGGGACTAGGGCGCTTTCAAGGTAAGCAAAGAAGCAACACGGATGCAAGAGGAAAGCCCAGGGTGGAGGAAAGCGCCTCTTGCCCACGCGTCTGAGCGAGGACCCGCCGTCAGAGGCGCTTCCAGGGGCAGCGCTGGACAACGGTGAACTGAGCAAAGCTGGCGGACTGGGAGGAGGCGGAGGCAGCAGCAGGACACGGCGCCCGGCGACCTTAGAGCAGATGGACCCGCGGACGCTGGCAGTGGGCAGCGGAGCCCGAGGCGGCAGGAAGGGGAGCAGCTGCTGGCACACGCGCTCGCTCCAGCCCTCAGAAGCCACGACTGGCAGCAGGATCCCCGTCCCCGCGCAGCGTCTCCCCGCGCTGGAGCCACCGCCGCTGCAGGTGCAAACCGCCGCAGGTCTGGGGAGCGGGGTGATTTCGCCCTCGCCTTCCCCCGTTGTCGTGTCTCCGTCCTCAGGGGCCAACTCCACGTGGCGTGGCACGCTGCCCGGCTCGCCACGGGGCTGCAGAGTGGCCGCTGTCCCCTGCGTGTGGGCTCCTCTCTCCGTGCTGGGAAGGACGGCGGCAGCGAGCGCCCGTCCTGCGTGAGATGCTCCAGCAGCCAAGCTGGGCCAGCGACCCTGTCGCTCCGAGGGCTTCCCAGTGTCACTCCAGAGCGCTCTGGTGTGCTCAGCGGGAGGAAGACACCCCCCCCCCCCC